GGGGGCTCTGAGCCCCTCCGGCCGTCTGAGCTGGTGCTGGCCCTCGGCCTGGCTCCTGCTCCCACCCCTCGGCCAGCGTGCTGAGGAAGACACTCTTTCGGCGGGAGGCTGGGCGGGGACACCTTTTAGGAGGGTGTTGGGCTTGTGTTTCTGAGTTGGAGGGAGCAAAAAGGGGAGGACGTTTCCCTCCCAGCCCTGGCCTTGCTCATAGACTCAGCGAGTTTCCCAAGACCCAGGCAGTCCAAGTAAAGCTCAAGCTTCCGGCCCACGCCTCTGGGAAGGACTGCTCCAGTGTGCCAGGAGCACCCAACCCCCAGGGGCACCCAACTCCTAGGAGCACCCAACCCCCAGGGGCACCCAACCCCCAGGGGCACCCAACCCCCCAGGAGCACCCAACCCCCAGGGGCACCCAACTCCCAGGAGCACCCAACCCCCAGGAGCACCCAACCCCCAGGGGCACCCAACCCTCAGGGGAACCCAACTCCCAGGGGCACCCAACCCCCAGGAGCACCCAACCCCCAGGGACACCCAACCCCCCAGGAGCACCCAACCCCCAGGGGCACCCAACTCCCAGGAGCACCCAACCCCCAGGGGCACCCAACCCCCAGGGGCACCCAACTCCCAGGGGCACCCTAGGTGAAGCCAAACCCCCAGGAGTACCCAACCCCCAGGGGAACCCAACTCCCAGGGGCACCCAACCCCCAGGAGCACCCAACCCCCCAAGAGCACCCAACCCTTGAGCCACAGGAAGGAACACAGCTGGGCATATGGGCAATCTCTCCATATTCTTTTCTCTTTCCCCCTTCTCTCCCCCTCTTTTTTTTTTTTAAAAATATTTTTATTGATTTCAGAGAGGAAGGGAGAGGGAAAGAGAGACATAGAAACATTAATGATGCAAGAGAATCATTGATTGGCTGCCTCCTGCACGCCCCTGCTGGGGATTAGGGATCAAGCCTGCAACCTGGGCATGTGCCCCTGACTGTAATCGAACCTGGGACCCTTCAGTGTGCAGGCGGACACTCTATCCACCGAGCCACACCAGCCAGGGCCCTCTCTCCCTTTCTTAAACCTGTGTACCATCTTGAAAGCGTCGGTCCCCTCTTTACTGCTGGGGGAAGGGAGAGAATGAGAGGCCCAGTGGGCCTTGGCAATCAGGAATCCCGCAGGCTGCCCCCCTCCCCACCTGTGCCCCGGCAGGAAGTGGTGGCCAGCAGCAGCAGGGCACTGTTCTCTAGGACCAGGACCAGGACCAGGACCAGGACCAGAACCAGGACCAGGACCAGGACCAGGACCAGGACCAGGACCAGGACCAGGACCAGGACCAGGACCAGGACCAGGACAGGACCAGGACCAGGACCAGGACCAGAACCAGGACCAGGACCAGGACCAGGACCAGGACCAGGACCAGGACCTAGGGGACAAAAGCCAGGTCAGCTCCGTGTCAGGAGCAAGTAGCCAAACCCTTCTGCAGGGCTTCCTTCCGTGTGGGAGGCTTGGTGTGTGTGGGGCTCCTGTTGACCCAGCCCTGATGGAAACGGGGTCAAGGTCCTGGAAATGGGTTGGGGTCTGAGGGCTTCCCTGCAGAGAGGCTTGCCCCTGACTTCAGTGCAGCTCATTGCAGTATCTGCAGCACCCTGACCCCAGAAAGCGGACGGACCAGCCCACAGGATGGGCGCCTGCAGGTGAGTGGGACGAGGCTGAGATAGGCTCATCTCCCTCTGTATGTATTCCACACGCTGTGTCCGCTGTGTGCACGTGTTAGCTTTGCTCACCGCCCCAGTCAATTCCAGCGAGCCAGAGTCGCAACCTTTCAGAACGAACTTCACAACTTCCTTTAGCATTTGCCTCTTTAAAGGTAGATTTGGTCTATGGCCACGAGGGGGCAGCAGAGGCATTGGGCTCGCAGCAGAACCCAGAGCCTCCTTAGGCGACCCCATGTGGCAGGGGGTACAAAAGGGTTGTCCCTCCCTCCCAGCAGCTTATTAACTTTGCTTTCCAATTTTCAGATATAAAATTACATTTCTTAAAAGAATTTAACTAGACATAATCCAAAGGTGATCTATCAAAATGCTGTCCCCTCCCCCGCTCCCCCAGTCCCCTTCCCACCCCTTCCTGATCCCTCGGGTGCCTGGAATTTGGCTGAGTGCAGGCATGTCTGCCAAGCTTGGAGGAGCCTTGCTGGGCCCTGCTGTCAGTGGCTCCTGCAGGGAAGGGCGGGTGCAGCACCCAGCTGTCGAGGGCAGAGCCTTGTCCGCAGTCCCATCTGGAGACGCACTAGGTGACCTCACGGTGCAGGCAGCAGCGACAGGTGGCAGAGTGGGTAGAGCACTTCTATGAGGGGTGAGCCAACACCCCGAACCATACTGCCTGCTGGGCAGGGCTCCTTGTCCCTCCTGCGCCCTGTTGCTGCCCAGGGCACATTAACCCCTTTTAACTGGCTCAGAAACTGCTGTTTGTAAGGGGCTTTGTCAGTACGGGGTCCCCATGTGGCCATGGGGTTGCTTGGACCCTCTCCTTCTCTGTGACTTGCTCTCTCTGTTCCCTCTGCTGTTGGAGGGCCTTGGGAACAGGACACCTGTCACAGGTCTTGCATTCTGGGTTTGACCGATTGTGTCCCTGAGCTGTAGTTTTACTGATTCCTCTAGCATTCAGTATTTCCTGTAAAGTGTTAGACCTAGAGACTCGGTGAGTTTCAGGTTCAGCCAGAGGTTGGGCCAGACAATTTCCTGGGTGGTCCTGGGTGCCACCCACTACATCCCACAGGGGATGCACCCCAAGTGTGGATAAGCCTGGTCTCAGAGCTGGGCAGGGGCCAGCACTCACCCTCTATTATCCAATCCTTCCTATCCCCCTTCCCCAGGCTTTTCTCAGAAGGAAGGTTTGCTTTGTTTTTGTTAATCCTCACCAGAGGCTATTCTTCCATTGATTTTCTTTAGAGACAGTGTACAGGAGTAAGAGAGACAGATAGATAGACAGTCACACACACACACACACACACACACACACACACACAAATGAGAGAGAGAGAGAGAAGAGGAGAGGAGAGAGAGAGTGAGAGGAGAGAGTTGAGAGAGACATACAATTGGTTGCCTCCCCAACCCACCCACACCTGGGCCTGCTAACCCAGGAGCGTGTTGTCCTTGGCTGGGAATTGAACCCTTGATCTTTGGTGTGAGATCCAATGCTCACGAAAGGTGTTCAAGCCACCACTGAGCACTGTTTGGGATCTGTGATATCACTCAGGAGTTTTCAATCTCACATCCCCTGTTCCTCAGCTGGGCTGGTCTAGGAGAAAGAGGTGTCCTTCATGAACTATTATTTCCGGGGGAGGGGGGTGAGCACCTAGATGCTAAGAATGTTCCTTCCACTTCCTCACAAGACAGAGTGGTCCCCAGGATAGCTTAGCTTTTTAATTTTTCCCAACTGAAATTATTTTATTAAATTTCAGTTACAGTTTACATCCAATATTATTCTGTATTTGTGTCAGGTGTACAGTATAGTACTTAGACAAGCCTATTCTTTACCTTGTGTCCCTCATATTTCCAGCCCCTCCTGGCACTGTCCCTAAGACCTGGTATCTTTGCTGTGTTTAAACTGAGGAGGAGCAGGGGTGAGGGCAAACATTTGTAGGACAGTGGAAGTTCATTCTTGATTATGACCTAGAGATGCAGAGGGGGTCCTGGGGGAATTTGGTGGGCCCCAGCTGTGTTTATGGATGGGGAGGAGGCTGCCTGCAGTCTGATTGGTGCAGGAGGTGGTCCATTAGGGGCGGTGCATCAGGTGTGCTCTCAGGGACCGGAACAGATGGTGTGAGTGTGGGAGTGTCCACAGTTGTCCTGCAGGATCCAGACCTTAGACCTGGAGAGTGCAATGGAAGAGGAGGGGCTTATGTGTTTACTAGAGGTCCGGTGCATGAGATTTTGTGTGTGTGTGTGTGGTGTTGTCCCTCAGCCCAGCCTACACCCTCTCCAACTGGGACCCCTCAAATGATGTCCAACTGCTGGCTGGGAATCAGGCCTAAATGGACAGTCTGACATCTCTCTCACAATCCAGGATTGCTGGCTGCCAACTGCTCGTCTGCTTCCAGGCGTCTTCAAACTACGGCCTGCGGGCCACATGTGGCCTGCAGAGGAGTCTGATCCGTCCCGCCAGGTTTTTTGGGCAGTGAGTGCAGCCGAGGTGTTACAGTAGGAATTAGTAGTTCATATAGTCCGGCCCTCCAGCTCTCTGAGGGACCGTGATCTGGCCCCCACTTTAAAAAGTTTGAGGACCCCTGCAACCACTCCCCTGCCATCCTAATCAAAACATAACTGCCTCCCTGCCAGCAAGGTTGTCCCCAACTGCCTCCCTCCCCCGCTGGGAATTTTGTGTTAGCCATCAGTGACCACATGGGGGTGGCATGTTGTGCAAGGGTGTGAGGGACAATTTGCATATGACCTCTTTATTATATATGATTATTATTTAAAAAAATATTTTCAGAGAGGAAGGGAAAGAGATATGGAAACATCAATGATGAGAGAGAATCATTGATGGGCTGCCTCCTGCACGCCCCTCACTGAGGATCGAGGCCACAACCTGGGCAGGAGCCCTGACTGGCAATTAAACAGTGACCTCCTGCTTCATAGGTCAATGCTCAACCCATGTACCACGCTGGCCTGGCAGACATGGAGTGGTTTTATAGTCTGAGATATCACTCAGGAGTTTCTAATGCCACCTCCTCTGCTTCCTCCCTCACGTGGGATGTTCTAGAAGAAAGCTGTGCTCTTCATCAGCTTTGTTTACAGGGGTGGGGAATCTATTGATAGATGCTGAGAGCTTTTCTGCCATTTCCTCACAAGACAGAGTGGTCCCCAGTATAGCTTAGCTCTTTAATTTTTCCCAAATAAAATTATTTTATTAAAATTGTTTTCAGGCCGAGCGCCCGCCTCCGGGCCTGCGCCCGCCCGGGGCTCCGGTGAGCCGGGAAGAGGCTCTGCCTTCACCTGAGCCGCCTTCGTCCGAGGCGCCAGGTCCTTCCCAGTTCCCGCGATGCTGAGGCCGCTGCGAGGGGCCGGGAGTCGTCGGGGATAAGCCCCCGCCCCCGGAGCCGAGGGCTCGCGCTCTGCGGACCGGCAGGGCCCGCCCCACGGGAAGAAATGAGTGGTGGATTGGCCCCAAGTAAAAGTACAGTGTATGTATCCAACTTGCCCTTTTCCCTGACCAACAATGACTTATACCGGATATTTTCCAAGTATGGCAAAGTTGTAAAGGTTACTATGATGAAAGATAAAGATACCAGGAAGAGTAAAGGTGTTGCATTTATTTTGTTTCTGGATAAAGACTCTGCACAAAATTGTACCAGGGCAATAAACAACAAACAGTTATTTGGTAGAGTGATAAAAGCAAGCATTGCTATTGACAATGGAAGAGCAGCTGAGTTCATCCGAAGACGAAACTACTTTGATAAATCTAAGTGTTATGAATGTGGGGAAAGTGGACACTTAAGTTATGCCTGTCCTAAAAATATGCTTGGAGAACGTGAACCTCCAAAGAAGAAAGAGAAAAAGAAAAAAAAAAGAAAATTCCTGAACCAGAAGAAGAAATTGAAGAAGTACAAGAAAGTGAAGATGAAGGAGAAGATCCTGCTCTTGACAGCCTCAGTCAGGCCATAGCTTTCCAGCAAGCCAGAATTGAAGAAGAACAAAGAAAGTGGAAACCCAGTTCAGAGAGTCCCTCAACCTCTGATGATTCAAGACGCCCAAGGATAAAGAAAAGCGCATATTTCAGTGATGAAGAAGAACTTAGCGATTAAAATTATATTTATTATGTAAATATTAAAAAAATGTTTTTAATCTTAGAGTACCAAGTTCAATTGGGACTAAAGATTGTTTTTTAGAATTTGACCATACAAATACTTAATGCCAAATAATTTTTTACTATGAAATAGTTTACCCTGGTCAGACAGCTGGGTTGGTTAGAGCATCATCCCAATACACCAAAGTTGTGGGTTCAGTCCCCAATCAGTGCTGAACCCACAATATATGCATAAAAAAAGTGGAACAATAGTCTGGCTGGCATGGCTCTGGTTGAGCATTGACCTAGGAATCAAGGAGATCAGGACACATGCCCAGAATATGGGCTCAGTCCCCAGTGTGAGGCTTGCAAGAGGCAGCCAATCAATTCTCCCTCATCATTGATATTTCTATCTCTGTTTCTCTTTCTCTAAAATCAATAAATATTTTTTAAATTACTATAAAATAGATATTGAAAAGAAATTTTAAAGTATCATGCTTCTGTCTTGCCTGAGCAAAATATTAATAATAAAGATTTGTTAATCATTAATCTTGAAAATAATATATTTGAAAAAAGAACAATATATAATAATGCTATTGTCATCCGAAGAAATAAGGTATATATTAAAAAGATTTGTCTGAGGGTTCATTAAAAATAGTTATTAGTCTTGATTAGTTTATATGAGGACTTTTAAAATAAATTTCACCAGCAAGGAAAAAACCTTCATAAAGATTGGAAAAAGTTGAATGATTTATTGTTATTAAATATTTAAATTTTTTTTCAAGAAAAAAAAATAAGTAAAATTGTTTTCAGTTAGTTTACATCCAATATTATTCTCTGTTTGTGTCAGGTGTACAGCCTAGTGTTTAGACAAGCCTATCCTTTACCTTGTGTCCCTCATAGTTCCAGCCCCTCTTGGCACTGTCTCTAAGATCTGGTAGCTTTTCCAGGGCAGGGAGGGGCAGTGGAGACCTCATGGGGTAGCTCAGTCACTAAGGCTGCCCGAGGGCAGGTGATGAGCCACCACCTGAACCAGCAGCATTCTCTCTCTGCCTTCTGCCCCAACAGAGGTGTCTTGTCTAAACTGGGGAGGAGCGGGGGTGAGGGCAAACATTTGTAGGACAGTTGAAGTTCATTCTTGCATATGACCTAGAGATGCTGTGGTGGGCTCCAGGTGTGGGCATGGATGGGGAAGAGGCTGCCTGCAGGCTGGTTGGTGCAGGAGGTGGTCCTTTAGTGGAGGTGCAGCAGGTATACTCTGAGGGACTGGAATAGGTGGTGTGAATTGGGAGGGTCCACAATCATCCTTCAATAGCCCAGATCTTAGGTCTGGAGAGTGTAATGGAAGAGGAGTGGCTTATATGTTTACTAGAGACCTGGGGCATGAGATGTGTGTGTGTGTGTGTGTGTGTGTGTGTGTGTGTATGGGGATCACACACACACACACACACACACACACGCACACAGCCTGCACCCTCTTCAACTGGGAACCCTCAAATGATGTCCAAATGCTGGTTGAGGATTAGGCATAAAAGGTCAGTCAGACATCTCTGTCACAATCCAAGATTGCTGGCTGCCAACTGCTCGCCTGCCTCACAGCCTGATCACCGCCTAATTGATCCCCTGCTAGCCTGATCAATACCTAACTGCCTCCCTGCCAGCCTGGTTGTCCCCAATAGCCCTCCCCTGCCAGCAATCTTGTGTTAGCCATCATTGACCACATGGGGGCAGCCATGTTGTACAAAGGTGTGAGGGACAATTTGCATATGACCTCTTTATTATATATGATTATTATTTAAAAAAAATATTTTCAGAGAGGAAGGGAAAGAGATATGGAAACATCAATGATGAGAGAGAATCATTGATGGGCTGCCTCCTGCACGCCCCTCACTGAGGATCGAGGCCACAACCTGGGCATGAGCCCTGACTGGCAATTAAACAGTGACCTCCTGCTTCATAGGTCGATGCTCAACCCATGTACCACGCTGGCCTGGCAGAACAGGAATGGTTTTATAGTCCTACCAGACGAGTTCAAAAGCCAAGCTTGGCCAACCCACTGCCCCTGGCATGGAATGTGCACTGGATTTCAGGGGAGACCTTGCTGGGTCCAGGAGAGAGGCAGTTGTGTCATTTGCCCCCTTGTCAGGCACTCCTGAATGCGGGTGGACCCTCTGAACATCTCACATGGTGGTTCGGTAATGAAGTGAGGAGAGGTGACATGGCTGTGGCCCTCACCCTCCCCACCCGCCTTTCTTGGGCTTTGGTGGCCTGGCCTGTGTCACTTCTTTATTTGTTGTTAAAATCCTTATGGTGGAAAGTATTACATATGTTCTCTATTTTCCCTTATTGACCCCCGGCCCCAGGCCATCAGAATCCCATTGTCTGTGGCCATGGACCCTGCATCTTCCCTTGATGCATACACCATCCTTGATGGTCACCTCCCTCCCACGCAGCCTCGCCTGCCTTCCCTCGGACACTCCCCACTTGCTCCATGCTTCCCTGGCTCTGGATCCACTCTGATCATCAGTTTATGTTGTTCACCAGACTCCACCTATGAGTGAAATCATGTGATGCTTCTCTTGCTCTGACTGGCTCAATTCACTTAGCAGGATTGTGTCCTATGTAACCTGGCTTTCCTAACCTCTTCCCAAAGGAGACACAGGGTTCATGTGGGTCCTCAGTAGGCTTCCTCTTTTTAAGATTTTATTTTAGGAAAACAATGCTTAGAAGTAGTTCCTGTGGCTTTGTCTCCCCCATGGCTCCAGCTCATATGCAGCACTTGGCTTTTCCGTTCTGGCAGCTGCCGATGTGCCTAGTGTCAGGTGGGCATATGCCGAAGGTGCAGATCCCCAGCCATGAGGGGCACATGTAGTCTAGATTCCTGACTGACTGTCTCCTGATGAGGCCGGCACCTGTGAGAAGGCAGAGAAGACACGTCAGGGTCCTGGTTCACAGCCAACATGACTGCAGGACCCTTGGTGACTAAGGACACACAGCCCCTCCCAGAGCACTGCAGAGATCATGCCCTCCTAGAAATTGGGCTCCCACTGAACTTTGGGGCTGCTCTTGCTAAGGCCTGTGCCCTCTGTCTGAGGTCTGTGCCCTATGTCTGAGCCTCTGCCCTCTGTCTGAGCCTGTGCCCTCCGTCTGAGGTCTGTGTCCTCCTTCTGAGGTCTGGTCTCTCAGTTTGAGGTCTGTGCACTCTTTTTGAGTTCTATGTTCTCTGTCTGAGGTCTGTGCCATCTGTCTGAGGTCTATGTCCTCTATCTGAGGTCTATGCACTTGGTCTGAGGTTGGTGACCACTGTGGCTAAACCAAAGCTGAGGATGAGCAGCAGAGCTGTGAGTGGATTTCCTTCTGCCAAGACAGCTGTCCTGAGCACCCAGACCCTCAGCGTCCCATTGTCCCCAAATAAGGTTGCTCAGCTTCACCCTGTCTCCAGAACACACGTGCTCCATTCCACAAATACTCACATCTGTTTAAGAAAGATTATGTACTGAGGATATGTTTACTGATTTTAGAGAGGAAGGGAGAGACAGAGAGAGAGAAAACATATCTGTGAAAGAGAAACATTAATCTCTTGCCTCCTGGACACACCCCAAGTGGCGATGGAGTGGGAAACCTGTATGTGCCCTGACCAGGAATTGAACCCACAGCCTTTCCATGCATGGGAGGAAGCTCCAACCAATTAGGCCACCCAGCCAGGGCTATGTGTGTCTTTAAAAAAGAAAAGTATCAAATTTGAATTCCTAATTTGGAACAGGAGTTCCAAATTCTGCCACCTTTGGTCAATATATTATTTTATTCACCATGAGCATCCTACATAGTTTAGGATGTATTCATCCACCCTTGTTTTTAAACCACCATGGTAATTTTCTACTGGGGTTTTCTGTCCATGCACATGTTTTGTTTTCATGCTTAATTGTCTCTCTAACTAGTGAGAACAGCTGAATTGCTTCAGGCTGTGTGCTAGGCGTCCAGATGATCTGGGCAGCACCCCTCCCCGCCCGCGATCCATCCTGCCCTGGCTCCATATCGACCAGGTCCTGCCCTTCAGTGCCCGGTGGAAAGATGGCTACCCCATGAGCTTCCATTGTTTTCTTTCAGTGTGTCTTTTTCTTCCTTTTCTTTCTAAATAAAAGCAAAAGGATAAAATATTCATTTTTTTAAAAATTTTTCAAGTGGAATTTATTGGGGTGACATTGGCTGATGAAATAGTATGGGTTTCAGGTATTCCTTTCACCTGCACATTGTGTTGCTCTCACTGCTCTCTCCGGTTGGAATGTATTCTGCCTTCCTCCCTGAAGCAGAGACTCTCCAAACAGAAGGCCCTGGACTGGCTGCCAACTCTCTGCGAGAGAACCAGGCCGCCCAGCATGTCCCTGGGAGTGGCTCTCAGGCCCTGGCTTTGCACTGATTGGAGTCCTGGATGGAATTGTGTCACCCTCTCCCACCCCCACGCTGAGGCCCAGCCCAGCCAGGACCCATATTGAACAAACATCACCCTTAGCTCCCCTCTTTCCTCCCATACCATTAGACGCCCAGGTGTAAAAGGGGGAAAGGTCACAGGAGACACCTTCAAAGCTTTTCTTCATGTATTTGGTTAGAAAGGATTTCCTACGCTGCCCAAGAGCCTAAACCCTAAAGGAAAAGCTATGACACATTTACCAGCCTCATTACAGAAGCGATAAAACCCTCTCAGGAAAGATTTAATGAAGACAGTGAAAAATCTAGGTACCAGGGAGAAGGTGTCTGCAGTGCATCTGACTGCCAAAGTTCTTGTCTGCAGATGGTATAAAGAACTGCTACAAATCAGGAAGAAAAGACGGATAATTTGATAGGAAATGTAGGCAGAAGACAAAGAGGCACTTCACAACAGGTGCCCTGTGGCCAGGAGCCACCTACAAAGGTACCCATCGTGTCATTTACGGGGGAAACGCACACTAACCCTCCGGTGAGCACCCCACTGAGCAGATGGCTCACTTCCAATGGACTGACATTCCCACGTGTTGGTGTGAATGTGGAGCAACGGGAACCTAGATGCATTGACTGAGCATGTGAACTGGCATATGCAGCTTCCTACCATAGTTCGACAGTCTCCTTTACAATCAAATCCACCCTTAGCCTA